AACTCATTCCAAGGATAGATTTGGCTTTATGCTGCCATTTAGCATAATGCTGGCTACCAAGAGTGGGCGGGAGATTGAGGGAAGAAAATCAATAGGCTAGAAGGCAGACATTCTTCAATTGGGTGCTGACTTGCAAGAAAGGGTAGATAATGTCCTACAAGGGGGAGAGGGAGAGTGAAGCGGGAAGGAAGAAGTGGCGCAGGGCCAGCTGTTGGGAAGTTCGATAGGGTGTTTAAGTGATTGAACACAAAGTGAGAATCAGAAATGTAAACCCCTATTTAATGTACAATAAAAGGTTTTCTTTTTCACTTCTTTTCTTTTTTAAAAATAATAGACCTATTAGTGAAGTGGAAAAAAAAAAGAATGTTTCTCTTATTAAAGAAAAAACTCCAACATAACTTAGAGGATGAAATAAAAGAAATTTTAATAATAATCAGAAAAATTTCAATAGGAGTTGGACAATAAGCCACGAGCTTAGAGATGGGGATTTAAGAAGAGAGAAAGGAAACAGTCACAGAAGCGAGGAGGGAGTGTGTCGTCATTCATTTGACAAGGCGTTAGAGCACACGGTCTAAGGCAAAGAAAACATACACTGCAGCACATTCTAAAAGCTAACATACAGTAACATGGGGTTAAGCATAGTTCCTTTTCTGAAATTATTCTAACTACCAGTGAAATAAACTTAATAAAAGATTAGTGAATTTATTTCAATGTTGAATAGCTCTAAGACGGGGAAAAAAACTGAATTGAGCACCAAATTCTGTCAATTTTGGAAAGCTACACTAAAAGTAAAAATAAAAGTAAAAGATTAGAAACTGACAACCCTATTTCCTGCAATTACAAGGATCAATCTATCTTAAATGGCTGATGGTCCTGTAAACACGTGCTTCTGAATAAGTCATATTGATCATATTTGAGAAGAAGAGAAGCGTATAGCACCGAAGGAATGCCGGTGTTACAGACTTTGCATATGTCTATCCAAATATTCCCAGTGAAGCATAAAACAATTTACAATGGAAACGGTTTTGCTGTCTATCAGAACAAGCTGAATATAAAAAAAAGAAGAAGAAAGTTCATTCAAAAGTGATGGGCGTTTAGCATTATATATTCCTGGGGATTGCGTGGGGTCTTCTGCGCATATTCCAGTTATTTAACAAAATTATATGTTATCTATTAATTTAATGAAATGGTTTATTCACTGACCCAAAGAAGAGTATTATCAATTCCTGGATGAATGGATGAAAGAAATATTAGAAAACAAACTACAACAATGCAGATGTGTCTGAACTAAAACCATCCCTATTTTATTAAGGTTGAAAATCGTGCTATGTAATAATTGTTTTTCTATTTCCTTTTCACCAACTCTCTCACTGATAATATAAGCATCTAGGATTGTTTTCCAATATCTGGGTATTTTAAATTTTCATTTGTAGTATTCATCACTTTGCTGAGTTCTTGCTCAATAAATAGACTACTTCGTCTTTTTTTGGCTAACACATCTAATAGAATTATGCTGCAGTTGGTGCCTTGAAATTTTACTTGACACCCTTCTGATTAAAATAAATATTTTAAGATATCGTTTTTGAAATATAGAGATAACTCACTTAGACTGAGTTCTTGAGCCCAGAAAGCAACATTGCCTTAGTAGAAGGTCTGCATTTGATCGTCCTGCTAGACCAGTTCATTTACACTGATCCACACAGGCTGTGTGTCAGCAAACAATGAAGGTCAAATAACTGTTTTGAGTGATGTCAAGAGAATGAAGTTTCAAATGCTCTGTCTCCAACTCATTCCTACATCTAGGTATCAACTCTCACAGTCAGGAAATTATTGTTCATATCTGTCCTAAATCGTTCACCTTGTAGCATAAACTAATTTCATTTCTTAGGTCGGTGCAAGAGGTTACCTTCACAAAATGAAAAATAAGAATTAATAAGGTTATATCAACTGTGTGGATCATGTCATAATAATCGACTCCAAGAAGGATCATAAAACAAGTTGCAAACTATCCTTCCCTGGTGAATACAGAACTATTTTGAGAATAGTCACATGCCCAGTTGGCTCAAGTAAAAGATATTAGCAACCACATATTTCCATGTGTTGGATGGCAACAGTTATGTGAAAATAAAATACATTTTATATAAATCAATAATACTCCAAAAACAATTTACTCATCAGTTTCCGCTTCTTCCTGTTGTGTGGTAATAGTTTTGGTATTTGCTGAACAAATGGACACAATAATAATGCACCAGCGAAAACATAAAATATATTTTTAACTGCTGCAATGTAAAATAAGTCAACATTATCTCTCTTCAAGAATATGTAACTTACTCTATGTTCGCAAGTGTATTTTTAGGATTACTGAAATCTGCAATGATTTAATTAATTTTTAATTTCCCTGAAGAATATAGTCATAGATTGCTGTATTGAGACAATGTGTTATCTTACAGTGATGACATTGATATAGCCATTACAAGGTTCCATTTTCATTTACTTAACTTATATGTAAATAGCTTGCTTGGATAAAGAAAGATTTTCCTTCCAGATTTGGAAAAAAAAGGCTAACTTTTCTGTAAATTAAAAACACAGGCAACAAATGTATAGATGTGCTTTACACAATTGATCTATGTATTGTGATAAATTGTACGAGCCCCAATAAATTGATTAATTAAAAAATAAAAAATAAAAGTTGATTCTGCTAAAAAAAAAAAAAAAAACACAGGCTATGAATGAAAAATCAAAAACTAAGTACCATGTGGATGGTGTGAGCCTGGGCAGTGTTTTATTCTGTTGTATAAGCATCACTCTGAGTGGTACCCAGCGCAAAGGAATCTAACAACACTGCAGTGGAAAAGGAAATGATCATCCCAAAGATGGTGGGAGCGTTCACATTTTAGCCCAGTGAGTTTCAAATTAGATAACTCCACGGGTGACAGAAACCTTCTGGCCTTGAGGATCATCTTGAGCACAAAGGTGATTTTTTTCCATTATTTCTCTTGAGTGGCTTCTACAGATTTGAACTCAGCATAGGACAAAGGACATGGTAGCGGGAGGCATGCAGTCATGCATTTAAATATATTTTTTCTAATTAAAATATACTTGTGAAGTTTACATGAATGGACCAGAAAACCCCCTTGATTTTGCGGCTGGTAGAATTCTGACTCAATGAAATGAACAAACTGGCTTTTTCATTCATGAGTTTTAGAAAGATACCTTAACATAGAACCCGAGTTCAAATTTCAAAACTTGTTTTATAAAACAAAGCAAAACACTATTTATATCTTTTGAAATGATAGTTAATTTTTAAAAATTATCAGCAGACTGAAAAACATTACTGCCATAGCTGCTAGTTTGTCTAATAATTACAGCAGCATAAAAGGTCCCACGCAATATAAACTTCGTTTTTATATGGTATGTGACTCTCAGACTTCAGGCAGAAAATATGGATACAGACCTTCGAAGAACAGACACATGGGGGCAACTTTTGTGATCCCTCTTGACATCAGTGCTAAAATATGCCCACAAGGAAAGGCAGAACAGAGGCAAGCCCTGAGATAAAGCATAGGTTCAGCTGCACTAACAGGGCATTTCATAAATTATTAATTTGCTGTTTTTGTCCCCACTTACACTTCAATCCATTTCCATACTCGAATTTATTGATCTATGTTTCTGAATCTGTCCCTATGATCAATTATTTTATCTAACCCAGAACCTGGCTGACTCATGCCCATCTTTACTTTGACATCAGGGTTGAATTTGTCTTTATGTAGTTGTTTATTTCATAACCATTTTTCAAAGTATACATTGAATTGAAAATTTAAAAGTGGAACCAGTGGAGCCAACTCAAATTTCTCCACATACACACAACTATATCATCAATCACACCATTAGGAGTTTTGCTTTCTGAACGGTTAGCCATTCTGCCTCCAGATTTTTGGACATGTGACAATAGAGGTGTCAAGCGGTGATAGTGAGATATGTACCTGTCCCTTCCTGGATTCTGTGTTGAGTTGCAATTGGGTACAAGTAAAGTCAGAAAGAAACTACTGTCACTCAATTAATACATTATAGTCTTTTTTTTTTTTTACATTATAGTCTTAAGAGTAAAATAAAAGATTTAAAACCCAGTATAGGCTTCTCAATAGAGTTTAACTAGACAGCTTTAGACTCACTCCTGAGGATGCAAAGTTCTAACGAATAATCGCAACTTGGTCAACAAGTGGAAAATACCTGCATAAATGGAGGTCTCCACACAAGGTCAGGCTCATTTCAAAGCATAGTTAGGAATTTTAATATTCTATCAGAAAATATAAACTTAGCCAACAAATTTTGCTGAAGCAACTAATTTTTCCATTGAGTTACCCATTGGCTTATAATACAGGTTCAAGAAGCTCAGGCAAATTTTATTAATCTAGATTATTTATAATGGCATAGCACAAATTGAACAATCAACTTTTATTATCAACTTATTAATTCTCATGAAAAAGAGGTTTGATTTCTTATTTATCTTCTATTAGAGAAAACGCACTATCTCATAACAACACTATCTCTCTACACAGGAAAAATTCCAAAGTTTAAATTCAGCCATGCGGTATGTTACCTAAAAGCAAGATACAGATTTCAACGCTCCACATATATTGTTTCACAGTCATCACTGTTTCATAACATAAATCTAGATAGAAATATTGTTGCTAAATACAGCTTTAATCTCTTAGATCCCCAGATATAACAAGCAATAATTAATATTTGCTGCTTAAGGGGTTTGAAAGTTGCTAATGAACTGAAAGGCTACAGTCTCTCATGACCTAAATTCTAACACTCAAGTGACACATAGTGATATCATAAAAGTGGATGACTAAACATATTGAATGAAGATTTGAAATGATCAATTTAGGAGTCTCAAGCTATGCACTTAAGTAAAAATTACATTGAATAAAAGCAATATAGTTAAATTATGTTTGAACTGCAAGCAGTAGGTTTAAAATCATAGTGGTACTTACCACAGTGAAATTCATTACTTTCAATATCCATATTGTCACGGCTAAGTTAACTATCATGGTAACCAACAGCAGAAGGACAAAGAAGTATAAGCACCTCTTTCGCCATCCATAAATCCCCACTGGGTACAATTGTGCATTCTCAGTCCGTGGCAGATGATTCTGTTGTGTTGCTAGTATATATTGTTCACGTGTCATCTGGGGAAAAAATGAAAAAAAAAGAAAGAAAAGAAAACACACATTCAAAATAAAACCAAGTTGTTGTTGTTTTAATCCAAAGATATAACAGTAATGGTTACAAAATGAGTGCTTAATTAGTTGTTGTGTGATAAAATGTTTCAAGAGCTCTCAAGTCATTAAAATCAGAGTTGTTTATTAGACTTGTTTAATTGATTAACATTTCTACAAGATATATATTCTTTACAATCACGTCTACCAATCCCAGTGGGTTTTTTTGTTTTTCTGGCTCTTCTTCTTACCTAGGTAAACATTGCAAGTCCTCAATATAGGTAGAATTTTAGGGTTATAGATGACTATAATAATGAATAAAAATAAATAGAAAATAAGAATAAATAAGAGTTATCTATTCTTTCTGGTTAAATATTTAGGCATAGCTCAACTATATTACAATCTCTATATAAGGACATAACTATCTAAATACAAATATATAAAAATCTGTCAGTAAATATGTTAGTTTATATTTACATGAATGCATAAAAGTAAATAGTATTCTATGTAATTATATAGACTTAGCTAACTTCATCTATTATTTGGCATTTCTATTATTTATTTGTTTTACAATGAGTTAGAAAAATGGAAATCTAAAGCAATACAAAATAAAAGAGCATTATAACCTACTGTGCTATAAAATAATAAATTTTATACTCATAAAAGCAGAAGCCAATTAAGAAGCGAGGATTGTATTTCTTGATAATATAGAAACATATATTCTCAAATTAACTTTAAATTAATTGTTTACTGTCTGATACAGTTTAGACAGATATATAAGAACATTAAAATGTATATTGGATATATATTATATAGTAATATATTTATTACTGAAAAGACAGAGTTTTATAAAATACGTTCTATAAAAAATTATTTTCAGCTTTTTCTTCATTTTTTCCTATTTACTTTTCTTTTCAATATCAATTAACTAGTACAGCAACACAAATAATATTAAGTAAATAATAACAACTAAAAATGATATGAATAAGGAAAAAATAGCCTAAAGTAAATTGCTTTTGGTATAACATATATCAAAACAGCACTAAATTATACTATTGATTTATGAAGTCTCATTTTAAATAATATTGAGTCATTCATTTGAAAATTACAAAAATTAATTTAAATTTCTTATTTGGCCTTTCCACAACTTTTGTTTTAATAATGGAGACCTTGCAGTGTGATGGGTTATGTGTTGTACTGTGAAATTCAAGTTCAGAAGTCCAAATCTACTAACTGCTCTGCATGAAATAAATGAAGCTTCCTGCTCCCATAAAGTCTAACCTCAGAGAGCCGAAGGGACGGTTGTGTCCTGTACAGTATGATTACTATGAGAGCGCTTTGATTTAGGTTTTGGTGGCATAATGGGTTATGGATTAGTCTGTTAACAGCAGAGTCAGCAGTTCAAGTGCACCTTTCACTCAGTAGGAAAAGAGGATGCTTTCTAGTCCGCTACAGCCTTGGAGACCCAAAAGGTTCGTTTTCCTCTGTCCTACAAGGTCACCATGAGTAGGAAATGGCTCAATTCAGTGATTTTGTTTGTTATAATTTAATCGCTGTAATTAAAATAGGCAATTATGCAGTGTTCAGTATTATTTTATTTAATCATATAATAATTCATTTCATTACAAATTATATAAGTTAAATCTTAACTTTAAATTTTAAATTCTTCATCAGTAAGGATTAAAGTTTTCACATATGACCAATAGAAAATGTCTTCACAATCTAAAGGATTCTATCTCTATTATCATGAATATTATTTAAAACAATATAGAATGTTTCCTTGAAACTAACAATAAGACTATGGTATTTAATTAGATTTCTGTATGGTAGAGAAATATAACATACCAAGTATTTTGTAAGTTACACGTTAGAGCAGATAGCAACACACTGATGAAATTTGATGAAAATTTTATGGTTCTGACAATGGCTATGATTACAAAGTAAAAACTTTAAAAAAAGAATAAATGGACTCTTGTTTTACATGCCCTTGGGTAACTTCAAGTAGACAGTGATTTTAAAAAGCAAATGAACATCCTAAAACAGTAGGCCTGTGTGAGATCATTCTGGCAACTACTATGTTAATCTCCTTTTTTTGCTTTCTACTTTACCAAGCATAATGTCCTTTCCACACCCCAACCCCCAGATTTTCCAGGCATATTGTTATTGTTCTTATGTGCCATATAGCCAATTTCAATTCATAGCAACATTAAATAAGAGAATAAAATGGCCACTCGGTGTTCTGTAATATTTATGATAGTAAATCACCAGATCCTTTCTTCCCCAGACCCGCCTGTAGGTTTACTCATGACCTTTTGTTAGCAGCCAAACACTGAACCACTGCACCAAGAGAAGATTAAAATCACCAGGACTTGGTTTTGCCACCTCAATCATCAAAGCAGCATTTTTGATTTTTAAGATTTTAGAAGTCTGTTATGATAAGTTGCCCAATAAAACATATGTGATTTCTAACTGCTTCTCTCATGGACTTTGTGCATTCAGGTAAAATGATATTCTTCCAAATTCAGTATTTTCTCTACATATCATGACGTTACTTATTAGTCTAATTATAAGGATTTTTGTTTCTTTATGTTTTTAGATAATCCACATTAAAACTTTAGTCTTTGCCCCTTATCAGTAAGAGTTCATGTTATCTACACTTTCAGCAAACAAGGTTGTGGCATCTCCATAACACGGATTACTAGTGAGTTTCCCTCATCCTGATGCTGCCTTATAAAGTTCAGCTTGTCACATTATTTTTCAGCAGACAGATTTAAAAAGTATTATGAGAGAATACAACCCTTCCACTGGCACAAAGAAATTTAAAGAAAAGACCACTAAAGAGCCAAGAGAAGAAATAATGCCACAGGATCCCCATACTGGTGTAGACGAGAGCGCCAGAGACCTGGCTAGTGAACCCCAGAATCAAGCGACTTGTAGCTTTTGAATTTGAAAACTTGCAAATAAAATGCTGGTCCTCTCTGGGCCATTCATTCCTCTTAATCTCATATTAAAGATTCTTTTTCTAGAGCATTCTATTTCTCCAAGGTCTATTAAGGCATGAAGGTAAGAGCAGAGTGCTTTAAGAAATAAGTGAGAATTTAAGAGTCTCTAATATAAAACACAAACTACAAAGAAAATGGTCTTTCAGCAATGAGAATAAATTTCTTTTTGTGTGTGCATAAAACAACAGAGATTTACTTTGTAAATCTAACAAACACATTCCATAATTTCTAAGAACAAATTATATAATAAAACTCCAAATTAAAGGGTCAAGGAAACAAGAGAAGCCATAGTCATTGAATTAAAACTCTCTTATCATTTCAAGGTATTCAGTGGTATTTCCTTAAATGACATCAAACTTCACATTATTTGTTATTTATAAGTCTTCTTCATCCATGTTGAAAAGAGAAAGCATCAAGGTTAGTATTTGTTTGTTCCTAGAAAGTTCCTATTTCTTAAAGCTGTTCGAGACCACATGAAGGCAGTCAGTGGCCCTTCCTGTGCATTAGTGAATGAAAGCAGCACCAGGTTCTAGCTAAGATTAAGCAAGCTAGCCTAAACTTGAATGTTTTCAATCTCATCTTAAAACGTTATCTAATCAATGTTCACATGTTAACTACAATTTGTAATGGCATTGCCTCCTTGGCATTGTGAGAACCCTGTAAGTAAAAGAGAAGGGTTGTTTTAAGTTAGTATTCTAAGTGTATATTATCCTAAAACAACCTTGTGAAACAAATATGCAATTAGGTGTTATTTTCTTTTATGTATATAAATAGATTTCCAAAAAGAATGAGAGAAAGCCAGAGAGATGGAAAGAGAGAAAGAAAAAGGATATGGTAAATTTTCAGGTTTATTTCTTTTTCTGTATGACAGTCCGCAATTCAAAATCAATACCTCCAAAAAGATGTCCTCTATTACTGAGTGACCTTATATGCCACAGATTAAGCATGGCCTGGTCCTGGACAAGTCTCACAATTTTGTTATGTTTGAACCAATGTACCAATTCATAATGTTGAGGGTTGTTTCGCTCTTCTCTCTCTCTCTCTCTCTTTCTCTCTCTCTCGTCTGACTCTGCACTTTATCAAACATGGTGTCCTTCTCCAGGGAATGATCCCTTTGAATAACATGTCCAAAATGTGTGCGGTAACGTCTCACTGCCCTCATGTCTCAAGTGCATGTCAGCTGTACTTTTAAGACAGATACATTCTTTCTTCTGGCAGTCCATGGTAAATTCAATATTCTTCACCAATAATTAAATCAAAAGCATCCATTATTTTCTGGTATGTCTTATTCATTGTTCAGCTTCCATATGCATAGGAGGTGATTGCATACTTTGGCTCAGACAGTAGCATCTTTGCTTTTTAGCACTTTAAAATGAAGCAGTGCAATTCATTATTTACTTTCTAGTCTACTGCTTATACAAGCATTGATTGTGGATAAAGATAAAGTAAAATTCTTGACATATGCAATCCTTTATTATAAAGTTTCTTATGGCTTCAGTTGTGAGGATTTTTGTTTTCTTTGTGTTGAATTATAATGAATACTGGTGCATAATCTTTGATTTTCATCAATAGTGTGGTAGTTATATAATTGGGTATCAATTTGAGGATTCCAAGTGAAGGGGTAGAGTTGAGCCTATCGATCAGGTAGTCGCTGATGACCCCATTTGGAGGAGCTAGAAAGATAATAGCTCTCTGGAGGCAGGACACATACTCACTTCCTGAGAGACGCTTTACTGACAAGACACATGGCACTACTCTGAGAGAGTCCATAACCTGGGAGCTGAAGGAGACGCATGGAGACTACTGCCAATACTGAGATACATCTATAGCCACTGGCTCCACAACACTTTGCACCCACTGGCCTGTGATCTTCCTGCATTGAGCATCATTGTATGTGTTCTGTGAGAAAGAAAATGACTATAGATTGGTATCAGACATATCGTCCAATATCTGCCTTATGGACTTGAT